CCCGGCCGGGCTGCAGCTAGAAAATAGCCCGCACCCCCCTCGCCCTCTGTGTCCTGAGCGCGACCAAAGCCGGGACCCGAATCGGGCCGGCGGTCGGCGCGCCATAGCGTTATTCTCGAGTGCAGGCGGTCGCGTCACCTTTGAGGGGAATCGCTTGACACGCCGTGAAGGCGCCGGTTCTGGCGTGCGGACGGGCGCCCCTCGCGGCTGTGTACCGTGCGCTCCGCCGCGCCGGTAGCGTTTGACGTTTGGGGTCCGGGTCATACAGGAGCGTGAAAGGGTGACGGGTGCGGGCAAACAGGCGGTACTCGGTCCGCGTGAACACAGATGGCTGCAATGTGTCGGTTGACATTCCGCCGTCCTGCCACGGGCGTCAGGCGGGTCCCGATGTCGGTGCTGTCACGCGTACTGGGCGTCGGGCGGTGATGTCTCTTCTGCGCTGACGTGATCCTGGGCGCTCGCGGTGGAGTGGTCGGTGATTTTCGTATCGCGCGGCCCGGGGGGGGTGGGGGGGGGGGGGGGGTGGGGGGTGGTCCATACGCATCCTCGACACCCACTCATGCTGTGCATGTGTTTTATTTCGCAACCGAGTGGACCTGCAGCGCGACAAAGGGGTTATGTTAGCGCTCATGTGATTCTCGTGCTCACTTCTTTGCGGCGCGTGTTTCCAATCCGAATCAGCGGAACCCGCATCACCTCTTCACTGGTTCGGAACTGTCGCTTCGCCTCCAGATAAGACACGTTCCTGTGCGGTGCTGCTGAGCTCCGCCTCTTGTGTAACATGCCAGTGAAGGCTGCTGGTGTCACGAACCGAAGCCGTCCGGCGGTCTCACGGTGCCCCCCGGGCCGTCGCACCCGGTTTTGAACCCCCGCTGACGACGCGTACTCGCCTATGTCATTCAGCCGAGCCGACGCACAGCGCGACTGCCGACCGGCTTCCGAACGGGTTCTGAGTGGTTCCTGAGCGGCATCGCCACACGAGCGCGCGATGGCGGGGCCGATAGCGCGTGTTCGGCCGCGCACTCTGGGAGCGGTCCGCGCCTTGCAGCGGCCCGTCTGGCCGGGCGACCGCTGCGGTCGCACCCGCTGCCAGGCGCGGAGCCGCAGCCGCTATCGGCCGGTCACACGGGCTCGACAGGCGTCGGCGGACCACACGGGCTCGGCAGGCGTCGGCCGGTGACACGGGCTCGGCAGGCGTCGGTGGACTACATGGGTGCGGTAGGCGTCGGCCGGCCACATGGGTTCGGTAGGCGTCGGCCGATGGTACGAGCTCGGCAGGCTCCGGCCGGCTACACGGGCTGGGCAGGCGTCGGCCTCCGGCACATTGCGTTCCGTTACGAGAGTTCAGATTATTTGTGTGTCATTGGGGCTTTACGAGGCACTCAGCTGCTGAGGCTATCTGGCGTCCCCTGACTCTCACCCGGGCAGGAAGGGCGGGTACCGCGGGAAATCGAACCCCGTACCTCTGGTTTCCCAGACGCGCAGTGGTTAACGCAGACGTGTTAGCCACTACACTACCGGCACCCTGGTTCAGATTGTTGTGCGTGTTATGAGTGGGTGGGGGAGCGGGGCAAGGAGCGGAGGGTTCCGTCCGAACATCCGTACGTCCCGCGGGCGTTAGCGGTGTTGGTGTCTGAACCGGAGCTGCGGTGTGTGGGTGCGGCCCGGCTCATCTGCCCAGCAATGCCTCGACCATTGCGGTTTTACTACCTCCTGGCAAGAGTGCGCAGAGGACAAGCACACGGGGTGAACTGGTCCCAGGGGAGGCGCGGACGACTAGTTCGGTATCGGCCGTCGTCTGGCCGCTGACCGTCGCCACCATGACTTTTCTTCACGGACTTTCACCGCATTGACCCAGCCCCATTGGGATTTAGAAAACGGTGCTGGGAGCGACTTAGTTCACGTCCAGCAGTGACGCGCTCCGCCTAAGCTGAACGGGGCTCGTACTGAGTGCTTGTCATCCAACTGCAAGGCCATTGTTCCAACTAAGCAGCGGCTAGGACTTTTTCCGCAGCGGCTGTGTATGTACTGCAGCTTTGCAGCGTGTATGTGCAGTGGCGCTGTTTTTTTTTGTCGGGAGGGTAACGCTGCAGCCAACCCGGTCAGCCTCACAATAACAGACGCACCTGCCGCTCTGCATGCCGCTTCGTCGCTGACTGTTTTCTGGTGTGCTCGACGGCCGGGCACCAGCAGCGGTTTCCTTTTTTCTGTCGGCTGCAAGACACCAGCTCTGGCGTTGGTGTTCCTTCGTGCCTGCGGTTTCGTGGCCCAGATGCCCCACGATAAAGGAGAGACTCGGTGGTGAGCCAAATAATGACGCCGAATGACCACTTTTTGAAAAGACATCTTTGGAGAACAGTCTGGTAGTATCTTGCAAACACACTCACTAAGTTCCAATGCATTGTTTTCAAGGAGATTTGCGAGCAGCTTCTCTGTTTTGCTGTGCCGTGCTGTTCTTTATTGCCCTGCTGTTCCGCAGTGCCCTGCTGTTGTGCTGTGCCCTGCTGTTGTGCTGTGCCCTGCTGGTCGTGAGCGTCTGTCACTGAACACGCATCTGTGCTTATCGGTAACGGTGCTCGTAGAGCCGGCGTCAGGTCGGGTCGGCCAGCCCGTGGTGTCAGAGTCGAGGGCAATGGACGCCGACCAGCCGCGGCTCAAAGTTAACACTTACGAGGCCGCACAATATTGGGTGCGAGAGATACTTACCATGATCTTTTTGTCAAGTTTGCATGTCCTAAGCTGTGTTAACGAACTTCTGTAAGAAATGAAATTCTTCAGCGTAGTGTTGGAAAAGTGGTCATTGATTACCATTCTACAACGATAAAAGTGTGCTTTATACTCCCTTGCTCTAAAATTGACCGCTCTGGTCAACATGAACGAATCTCAAATTATTACTGTCGCATGTATGTATAAGTTTGAAATACTTTAAGTGAAATTGTGTACCGTGTTAGAGGCCTCCACAGATTGTGTTACACATGGAGAGGAAGGGGTTTTGAAAGAGCGTTACGAACATGTAACAAGGAGCAAGGAGCAGGTTTTGGACTTAACGTTATGCACCGTTACACTCAGGTTTGGTTGCCAATGATGCTAAAAGCTTTAAAAAAACAAATTAAACATCTAAAGTGGAGTGTTTCACATCAGCGTGGGATTTTGAGATGAAAAGGTCATTTTGAAAATTATTTGGTGCAGGCCACAGCCCTGCCCTTCTTAAGGCCTAAAACACTCTCCTCTCTGAGCTTCTCGCCCGCGAAGATATGCAAGCCATTTCGTGCTGACTATTTCAAGGTCATTCAGTCACGTATGACGCCATGGCAACTCCATTCAAATCGTACCACACAGGCCAAGTGGCTTTCAAGGCCAGGAAGAATATTATCGTTCAGATGGTCAGATCTGGCGTCCGTGAGCGCGATTGATTTTCAAATATAGTGGATGTCAATTGGCTTTCAAACAACGTTGAGCAAGTCGTGTAAGTTTCAATCACGGGGCGCATTTTGTGCTACGTAATGCAAGCAGTTGGGCATGGTTTCTTCAGTTGCTAGCTATCACAGACATGATGCTTGTAATCGGAAAGCTGAAGAATAACGCCGCAACCTAGTATGTGAATGCAGGTAGACATCTTCAACTCACAGATAGATACAGATAAGTTCACCAATAGTTGTAAGTGAGTTGATATCATCACATATCATGCTTGCTTCAAATCCTTCAAATGTGGAACATTCCCGTGAAAGCCAGTATCGTTGGCTCTCTCTCATGGCCATGATAATGAAAATGCCCGTTATTTGCTTCACATTTCTTGCTCAACTGGAGCCAAACGAAAGTATTTTTGGGACGTGGCGTGTTACGCAGGGTAACGGGGGAGATGGGAACCCCCATCTTAACCAGTGTGGAACCGCCGAGGGAGATGAAGGCTTGCAAAAATTGACTGATGGGGTCAAAGTAATTGTGGACGGCCCATTCGGCCAATCTAAATTGCACAGTTTTCACACACCGACTGAGAACCTTCTAGCTATTCAGCTGAGTGCACCAAGCAAACATTCGACACTGTTTCTGTGACACATTTCAACGTCACGAACGATTTTTGTAAAATTAGCTGAGCTTTTGGAGTCGACTGAGCTCTTGGAGAGTGAGGTTCTCAGTTCTCAGCCATGACGGCCAGCACCGCGGAGCTGCGCTCTAAGCGCTGCCCACCCGCGCTGTGCGCTGGCGCTGACGGCGGCAAGAATGCTGCATTGGTCGACACATCCCAGCGCGATGGCCATGGACTATTATCACTGTTCTGTTGATGATGACCTTTTGACGTATCGGCTCTGTGTGGCATATTTACTGGTGATGTGCTGCCGGCACTTGGCACATCCACATCGTAACGTCCGACTCTCGTGGCTGTACGCGCTTCCCGATGCTGCTGATCTTGGCCATGCATCTCATGGAGGTGCATGGCTAATTTAGACTTTCCTGATTACTACCAGTTGCTGCTTGGGTGTTTCAAAGGAATACTGCGTTGCGGGCGTCATCGGATGTCGTGTTTACCTTGCGTGCCTCACAGTTTTGTCACAGCTACCTGATCAAATATCCCGGAAAATCTTCCAGTAATCTGAGGAAAACAAGGGTTATATGGACTTATTCTGTCAGCAAAGGCTGCTTGGGCCCAGGAACCATTTACGATGGTTGGGTTTTCGTAGCATTTTCGTTGGTTCCATTCACAACTTGCTAACCATGAGACTGGCGGGCAGCGGTTCCACTTTCACGGGAGGTGGTGTCTTTACGGCATTTCACGGCAGGCAGGTTTAGCCCCTCTGTGAGACAGGGCCATAGCAGATCGTCGGTGAATAGGGGAAACAATAACTCAACTGTGACAAAGATGCGACACTAACCGATGATTCCTCATGTCAACTGCACATATGTTAGTTACACTAACGCACGGACGTGTGCTTGAAAAGGCATAGTATCGCAGGCGTGCACTTGGCTCAGGACACGATAGTGATCCGAATGCGCGTAGCAGGATGGAAAACAAGTATGTATCTTCTTCATGATCCAACTGGACTTATGAAACCATGCCACGACTTTGTTGTACCCACGCTGCGAATTGCGGCGCTTCTTGTCCTTTGCTCAGACCGCGGACAGCAGCTAGTCCATACGCTGTGTACAATGCCCGAACGTCGTACTTGGTTCATGATGTACCTCATGCCGCAACTGATGATTCATCACAACCTCCAGTGGCGACGAACAATGCGCATTCCAACGTTGCAATTGGAAGCGTTGCGCGATAGCCATCGCGTACGAGCTTGGAAAGCGGCCACCCAAAAATGAAATCGGCCCGATCTCGGCTGCGATTAGGGCCCGTGGCCTGGGGCGGCGTGAGGCGCGCCTGGGGCCGGAACTGCGCGGCGGGGACGGTCGCCACGGCAAGGTCGCACTGTCGTCTTGAGTCGGCCGGCCGCGGCCGGGCTGCTGGGAGGGGCGGCCGGGCCAGCGCCGTCTGGCGTCCGGCCGGTCCACTTGTCATCCGCGCTCGGGCGGCGCGCTGCCGCTTATGGAGCGGCGCCGATCGTATCGGACTCCGTGCACGGCCGTATATTAATGTGACCATTAACGGCCATCCGCTAGCCGGCGGCACTAGACTCTCTCTCTCTCTCTCTCTCTCTCTCTCTCTCTCTCTCTCTCTCTCTCTCTCTCTCTCTCTCTCCTCTCCTCGTCTCTCTCCTCTCCTCTCTCTCTCTCTCTCTCATCTCTCTCTCTCTCTCTCTCTCTCCCTCTCTCTCTCTCGCTCCGTCTCCTCTCTCTCTCTCTCTCGCTCCCCCCCCCCCCTCGCTCCTCTCCTCCTCCCTCTCCCTGCATCCCTCTTCTCCTCTCCCTTCCCTCCCTCCCCTCTCCTTCTCCTACTCGCTACTCTTCCCTCGCTCTCCCTCTCCCCCTTCTCCCTCCCCTCCCCTCCCTCTCCTCCCCTTCTCTCTCTCCCTTCCCTCCTTCTCTCCCCTCTCTCCCTCTCCGTCTCCCTCTCCCTCTCTCCCTCTCTCTCCTCTCCCTCTCCCTCTCTCTCCTCTCCCTCTCACCCTCTCCCTATCTCTTGCTCTCTCTTGCTCTCTCTTGCTCTCTCTCTCTCTGTCTCTAGCTCTCTTGCTCTCTTGCTCTCTTGCTCTCACTATTTGTCCGTCTTTCTTTTGACTTTTTCCATAGTTTCCTCTGCTTCTGCTTCCCGGACCTGTTCCTCCCGGTCACCCCTGCCCCTCGACAGATCCGGCCGTCCCATATGTTTGCTCATGGTGCGCCTGTCTACTCCGACCCGTCGTCCTCATGTCGGCTCACGGCCGACCACCTGCTTCACGTCTACCGCCGCGTCCTGTGCACACATGCGCCCTCGCTGGACCGGCGCACCCACCACCCACAGCACCACGGCGGCGCAGCGTGCACCGACCACGGGGAGCGCACGGCGGTACGGGCGCGGCGCTGACAGTCGCTCCTCCTCTGTTCCAGAGACCTGCACGGGAATCAGCTGCAGCGGCTGCCAGGGTCCGAGCTGGCCGCCCTGCCGGACCTGCGAGTCCTGTGAGTACCGCCAGCTGGCCGTCGCCGCCTGCTCGCACCGTCGTCGGTGCCTGGGCGGCCGGGTTAGCCGCGTCGGCCCCGGCTGGGCCTGGCGCGCCGTCGCCGCGCGTGTCGGTGGCCGGCGGCGCCGGGCCGGGCCGCGTGGCCTATCGTCAGCGGTGGCAGCGGCCGCAGTCCGTGATCACCTGGCCGTGGTCGGCCGGGCCTGATTCAGCGGCGGCGGCGGCGCTGGCGCTGGCGGCGACGGCGACCGCCGCGGTCTGGGCTCGGGTTGCAGCCGTGCAGCCGGCCGACACCGGATGCCGCCCCGCCAGCGCGGCTCCGGGAACGGGTGTGCCTGTTGACTGGGTGACACAGCGCCGGGCCTGGAGCGAGGCGCCAACGCGCCGTCGGTGTTTGCTGGGGGCGGCGCACCTGCGCCCGCCGCGTCTCACCGGCCGTCTCTCTTTGTTACAGCAATGTCAACAACAATGAGCAGCTGGCGCTGGAGCCAGACACGTTCGCCGCCAACGCGCTCCTGCGGGAGATGTGAGTTCAGGATAGGACCGGGAGGGTCGGCCGACTGAGATCAGGACAGGACTGTGATGGCCGGCCGGCCGAGCTCAGGTCGGGACCGGGAGGGTCGGCCGGCTGAGACTAGGTCGGGACCGGGAGGGTCGGCCGGCTGAGATCAGGACAGGACCGGGAGGGTCGGCCGGCTGAGATCAGGACAGGAACGGGAGGGTCGGTCGGCTGAGATCAGTACAGGAACGGGAGGGTCCGCCGGCTGAGATCAGTACAGGACCGGAAGGGTCGGCCAGCTGAGATCAGGACAGGACCGGGAGGGTCGGCCGGCCGAGCTCAGGTCAGGACCGGGAGGGTCGGCCGGCTGAGTAGCGGCCTCCACGCCAACGTCTCACATCGAAGCACTGTTGTCCCATGTCTTGTCGATAGTGTCTCACGTCCTGTGATGGGTATGCCTGCGCCTGTTTCTGGGTGTTCTGGTAATTAGTCGCCGCCGCGGCCGGTCTGTTAACGGTGGCGCGTACGCTATCGGGGCGTGGTGTTCGTGCCAGGCCGTTTGCGCGTCGTGGTGCCTGCCACGTGCGTAAGTCCGCCGGCGGCGCACGGGGCGCCGGGGCGCCGCGCGCGGCGCGCTGAGTGAGGGGTGACGCAGGCCGGTCTCCGCTTTCAGTGACCTGGGCGGCTGCGGTCTGGGTGAGGTGCCGCTGCTCGACCTGCCCCCTAGCGTCCGCATCGTCAAGCTGTAAGTACGCGGCGACGTCGCCCTGCACGGCGCCGGTTCCGGCGCCGCGTTAATACCCCAGATCTCGTATCTGCGTGCGACTGGCCGTGCCGGGGCGGCCTGTGGCACGCGGCCGGCGGCGGCGCCCGACCCGTGTTGACCGGCCGAGCTCAGCCCGCAGAGCCGGCCGGCGTGCACGGTCGCTTGCGTCAGCTCTGTTATCGTGTCGGGGGATTGGCGCCGTGACCCCGGCTGCACCTGCCGCCCCATCCTCAGCCGCGCCGGCAGCGCGCACGCGAGCAACACGCAGGCGCCACGCTCGTGACGAGCCGGCTGTGGGGCAGGGTGTGGGGAGTGGGCGGCGGGATGGTGTTCTCTAGGGCTCGATTCCGTTCGGATCCGCAGGGGTCGGCGCACATATCACTCTTGTTTGCCAGCCATCGTGCCCGGCGGCGTCTGCGCTAAAGACGCCTGGCTGAGCGCCCAGGCGGCTGAAGTAGCCGTAAGTCGCAGCAGGCTCGCCTGGTGCGCGTGTCGGCCCGTGCTGAGCCAGCAGCCGTGTTGGCGGCGTGGCGTCTGACCATGTCGTCGGCCCGTCTCCGCCAGCTCCGCGAACGGCGTGCGCCGGCTGGACCGGGCCGCGCTGGCCCGCCTGCGGTACCTGCACGAGCTCGACCTGTCGCACAACCGGCTGGCCCGACTGCCGCCGCACGCGTTCGCCGCCCGCACCCAACTGCGCACGCTGTGAGTGACCCCGGCCGGCGCCCGGAGCGGGGTGGCGGCGCCGCCGCTCGCCTCGGGCCTCGGAGCGGGATGGCGGCCCTGCCGGTCGCCTCGAGTCACGGTGACACTGTTGACACTGTTCAGGTGGCGGATGGGATTGATTACAGGGGTGGTTTTGGTCTCAGCTCCTTGTGCTGGTGGGTGTTAAAACGCGGGTAAAGCTCGACGCCGTTGGTTATCAAGTCATCGCGAGGCAACGGACGAGAACGTTACGGGGTGTATCAACGGTCACTCAGCATTCGATCAGCCAGTGGGTTCCGGTCCTTTGTTGTAGCTCTCTGTTGCTTTGTTCAAACGCGTTATTCATGGTAAGTGAAGCCAGTTGGATGGGTTTGTCAGGTGAACACAGAACATGGAGACCGGTTCTAATGTCATGTTGGAGGTTTTTTTCTGCGGTTGATCGGCTGAAATCTTCCCCACACGATTTCTGCTGTGCTCGGGATTTCGTGCTGTTGCTCTTGTCAAGTCTGTGTACCTGTGCGCTCTGTCTAACGGTTTTTATTGTACTAGTGTAATCACGTAATTATGCTGGTGTACTGGTGGTCCTGGTTATACGTACAAGGCAAAGCCTACGTCGGTAGCAATGGTACCCCTCGCGTGGACAAGGCCTGAATCGCCTTAAGTGAATTCTCTGCACGCAATGGGATTGAGTGGACCATTCCCACCGTATCCGGTTGTGTTTGTTGTTCCCAGCAGAAGTGACAGCTCTACTGTGGTCAGCCAGGGTCAGCGATTGCGATGGCTGCGATCACGCTTACTCGTTCATTCACTAATTGGTCTGAACACCCAGCCAAAGATGTAAATACGATGTGACGGCCCGAGGCAGCGCGCCTACGGCCGTGGCGTGCCGACCAGATTGAGTCGTCGCGATGTGCTTGACTGCAGGCGCGATAGCGGCCGCGACAAGCGCCCGCACACACAGGGCGGATCCCAGCGCGCCGGCGCGCCCGCCGGACGCCACGCGCCCTGCACCTGTGTTTGTATTCTCACGCGTGTGCCGGCCGATAGTCGCCTATCGGCGCCGACTCGTCCCGTCTCGCAGTCGTAGCCTTTATCGCGCTGGACCACCACGCCTGGCCGGATTAGCGGTGGGGTGACGTTATCTGTGGCGCCAGACGGCTTAAGGCCCTGTCCCTCAGTCGACGCTCAGACGCAGCGCGCTGCTTTTATCAAGTGGTATGTCATATGTGCTCCACGTAAGTGCACATTTGTGCGCGAGTTCTCGAGGGAAGTTTCACCGTATGTTAGACGAGCAGTGCTTTGAATTTGTAACTGTTGCTAACGTCGCCTGACGTGGGGACTACGAACCAGTACCGCTGTTAAGAAAAATCAGTTCGGTGCACCGTTGTCGCGGGCAGATTTTACTGTGTCACGCAACGCTGTGACACAGCTGTTTTCCTCCGGTTTCTTTGGCCGGTTGTCAACATTCCGTCACTGATGAGCTGCAAAGCCTGGCGTTTGGGACGCTCGTATGGCGCATTAGTCACAGCGTCCGACTGCCACCAGCTGAGCGATATGGACGGCATCGCGGCTGGTAGACACACGAACCTCGCCGTTTTCACAGCAATAGCAACGAGACATTGGCAGCACCATCGCATAAGAAACGGCGGCATTTAGCGGCATGCCCGCACACTCATGACCTTCATCAAACACTGGCAACGGCTAGCTCGATGGAGCGCCGGCCGATGGAGACCCGCCCAGGCACCATCCGTGCCGGGGCGCAGGGACCTGTGACAAGCCCAGTTTCCCGTGGTTAGGCCACTGCCCGCCTTGCGTGCGCCGTCCCCTGGTCGCGTTCTAACGATCCGCTCTGCCCCCCGCACCGACAGCAAGCTTCACAACAACCGCATCACGTCGCTGGAGCTGGACCGGCTGTACAACCTGCGCCAGCTGGAGGTGCTCAAGCTGGCCAAGAACCGCATCAGTCGGCTTTTCAAGGACGCCTTCCGCGGCCTGACCCGTCTGCGAGAGCTGTGAGTGTCGGGCCGCGCTGTCTCACGCCGGCCGCGGGAGCGCTGTGCGAAGCCGTGGGCGCCGCGCTCGAGGGCAGCCGAGAGCAGGGCTGACCAGCGGGTCACGGATCACGGAAGCTGAGCTCTCGGGCTGCAGCGGACGGTGGGAGCCGGCAGGCGGCCGTGCCGTCGACAGAGCGGCTTTGCTGGCGCCGTGGTGGGCCGAGGTTGGGTGTGCGGAGGTGCTGACTGACGGGCGGGCAGCGGGCAACAGCGGGGGGGGGGGGGGGGGGCAAGGCGCCTCAGCGGTGCCGGTGGGTAGGCGGAAGAAAGGTGATACCGAGTGGAGAGAAAACGATCGACCCGGCAAAGAGGGTCCCTAGAGGCCGTTAAACGGAGCGTCGCACCTTTGGGGCGTATTTCAAAAACATCCTCGAGTGAAACCTCGGACTAGTTACGTCTAATAATAGCGTTGGATAGAGCTATTGCAACACCATCAATACACAAGCAGGATATCAACCTAATTATTTTAAAGTCCAATTAACGTTATCAGCGCATTATAACTGCCCCTCGGTTCTTCCTACAGTCGCGACCACCGTCGTCACGACAACCACCCGGTGCACCTTTATTGGTACGAATAAAAAAGTTTGTTAATGGCCCACCGAGCGGTAAGGGCCTGTTGTCGAGAAGCGCACTGATTCAAGTTTAAACCAGTGCGTACACTATGGACCATACGCTATTCTCATTCTCAAAGCCAAAGCGCGCTTCTAAAAGAGCCACTGTAGTAGAACGCTATAGGAGAGAAATTAAAAACAAAGTATAATGCGTCCTTGAGGTCGCTGCGATAATAGCTTCATGTTTGCATATCATTTCGTCGTAGCAATGTCACAAACTTTTGTAACATCGATTAGCAAACGCCTTTACACATAAGTGTGTTGCAAACATTACAGAACACGCGCGTTGGGGAAAAGGAAGGCAGCTAAAATTCATTACTTTCATAGTAGTGAGCAGCACGTTAACTGATATTTTTCCAGCAGGAGCGGCTACTTCAAACCGAAATTCTGAGCTATTCAGGACTTCAAGAAAAGTGGTATTACGGATCAGTTCAGACGCGTCTGGTGTAGCAATAAGTGAAAAGTGCAAAGAGCTGGGATTCTTTCCTTAACTGCCTTGTTCGGTTCATATGACACCCAGCGGCCGGTACCCTCTTGCTTGCTGTTGAGGGCGTGGGTGTTGGAACTTGCACTGGGTTGTGATGTACTGGGTTACGATGCGAGCTTCTCGTATTTTATACAGATATAGCTAATTAAGACACCGTTTGGGTTCTTACCAGTCTTTGATAGCCGCCTGTAATTTTCATTCCGTGATTTTGCATAGACTGCCGCACCATATTGAGTTATACGACCGAGCGGCTGCGGTTTACCGGGCGAGATAAGGGCGCGGTGGGCTGTTTATTTGGATGGCCGGCTCGCCCGCGGCCGTGCAGCCGCCGCCCCTGCTCTCGCGCCCCACCTCCAGCGCTTCCGCGGTGACCGGGGATTTCCGAACGTGCCGAGTCGGGAGGGCCTGGACGGGCGGAGCGCCGCCGGCACGCCACCTGGCCGCCGCCGCCCTCCCGCTCGCCGTGACGTCACGCGGCCCGGCTGCCGCCCGAGGCCCAGGTGTGCGAGCAGGAAGGCAGCCAACGGGCCGCGGCTGGAGCCTGGTCGTGCGGGCGACGTGTGCGCGCTCTGCGCTGTGCCGCTGCCGGGGAAGAGGGCGGGCGGCTGAGCAGCGCTCCGGTCCGGGGCCGACCGGGGCTGGGCGTGGTACCTTACGCTGGAATGGTGGCGGGCGTCGCCGCCTGCCAGACGGCCGCCGGCGTCTGTCCTCGCCAGACAGTCGTCGCTGGAGTCCCTGCCAGCTTCGCTGAGGTGTCCAGGCCAGACGACGCTTGGCCTTCTCAAGTCGACAGCCGTCAGCTGTGAATTATAGGGGCGGCGTGCCTGTTGTTGTTGGCCGCCACTACACAGGGAAGGGGCCAGGTGCAGCCACACTTGCGGCTGTACTAACCCGGCCGTTGTCTCCGTCGACCGCGAGCTGACGCTGATCTCCGTGGACGTCAGCCGAATGAGACGTATGCCATGCCATGACATCACTCGGTGTGGTGGACTGGCCGATACGTGTGGGTCGCGTGACTCGTGACGGACGTTGGCTCGGATTTGGCGCGTGCTGCGCGCGCGTGTTCGTGGGCCGGTGACGAGCCGTGCGGTCATGCCATCCACAGGGATCTGAACCGGAACCGGCTGACGATGATCGACAGCCTGGTGTTCTCCGGCCTGGACAGCCTGCAGGTGCTCAAGCTGAAGCGGAACGGCATCCAGCGGCTGATGGACGGCGCCTTCTACCACCTGCCCAACATGACCCAGCTGTGAGTGAACCGGCCGCACCACCTGTGGTGTGGCGCCGGATCCTGCTCGGGGACAAACAGCTGGCGAGCATCCCCAGCTGTGAGTGTATAGCGCCACTCAGTGGCCAGGCACTTACCTTTGGAGTAGTTGCGATGTCTGTCTGCGACTGATACGGCCAATCAGGCGGTGTCCTTCCTGGTGAGCAGCATTGCTCATGTGCAATCATGTTATGATAAACTACCAGCTTAATGCGATACTGTTGGACGGGATCGCGCGCTGGCACTGCCACCAGAGATAAGAAGACCACACCTGTGCTGTGACCGAGTATTTGGCCTGGAGCGCCGTGCGAGCCCTGTTGGAGGCTGCGTCGACTCCCGTCGTGGGCCTGCCACGGCGTGGTCTGACAGCTGCCCCGAGCCCGCGGCAGACCTGGCGGCGTGGCTGGTCAGCCGCCGGTCCCGGCCGTGTTAGCCCTGTCGGCCGCCCGCGCCACGCCCGGCTGACTGCGGCGGTCGTCTGACACGCCTCGCCTCTTCTCCGCCAGCTTCCTGGACCACAACGCCATCCGCAACGTGACCAGGGGCTGGCTGTTCGGCGTGCGGCGGCTGCGCCAGCTGGGCCTCAGCCACAACCGGGTCCACCTGGCGGACGTCGGATGCTGGCTCTACTGCCGGCAGCTGTCGCGGCTGGACCTGGCGCACAACGAGCTCACTGCCGTGGACGAGCACACGTTCGCCAAGCTGCCCCGACTCACCGAACTCGTGCTGGACCACAACCGCATCGCGCTCATCGAGGAGAACGCGCTGCGCGACTCGCCCCGGCTGAAAGTGCTGTGAGTGGCGGAGCGGCGCCGGGGCTGACAGGGCGAAGGAGTACTGTAGCGGGGAAGACCAGTTAGCGGCCGGCGCCGTCTGTTAGGGGTGGGGGGATGTCTCTCCGGCGTATCCGATTGTTAGGAGTGAGGGGATGTCGCTCCGGCGCATCAAATTGGTGGTGTCTGTTTAAGATTTCCCCACCGAATTTCGAACGAACACGTTTAAAGTTGTGTGATCATCCTATCGGTATTTTGGGGCGAATGGCATGTAGTTGCGCGTTAGGTTATTACTCACGTGGCTGGGCTAGCTGGCTGACCTGATAGAGTAAGTATGCGCCATGTCCTGCACCACTTCGCACCCAACGACGACTAACGCCGCGCATCTCGCGCCGCCGCAGTGAGCTGAACAACAACCTGATCTCGTCGACGATCGAGGACCGGAGCGGGGCGTTCGCGGGACTGTCGGAGCTGACGCGGGTGGGCCTGCGCCACAACCGGATCATGTCCGTGAGCGGGCAGCCGTTCGCCGGCGCGCCCGCCCTGCAGGAGATCGACCTGGCCGAGAACGCGCTCACCACGGTGCACGAGTCGTCGTTCAGCGGCCTGCCGCAACTGCGCACGCTCGTCATCGACTCCAGCAGCCTGCTGTGCGACTGCGCCGTGCGCTGGCTGCCGGCGTGGGCGCGCGCCGCGGGCCACGCGGCCACCGTGACGGCGCACTGTCACCACCCGGAGCGGCTGCAGGGCCGGCCGCTGCTGGAGGTGCCGGCCGAGAGTCTCACCTGCCAGGACTCGCCCAAGCCGGCCATCCGCCTGCAGCCGCGCACTGGCAAGACGCTGAAGGGCGATAATATGACGCTAAGCTGTGAGGCCGAGTCGTCGGCAAACGACACGATGCAGTTTGGCTGGCGCAAAGACAGCCAGCCGGTGCCGGTCGGTCGGGCCGTCACGCGCGCCTGGGCGCACGCCGACGGCCGGCCGGGCCGCGTCATGCGCTCCGAACTGCGCGTGGCCAACCTGACGGACGCCGACGCCGGCCAGTACCAGTGCGTCGTCTCCAACAAGTTCGGTGTGACGTACTCTGACAAGGCCACCATCGACGTGCACGGTCAGTGGCGGGGTGCGGCGGCGGCCGCTGTTGCCACCGCTGCCGACGGGTGGCGGCTTCGCCGGCCACGCGATGCTGACGCGGGATGGGCGCTGCTCACGGGTGCCAGGCCGGTGGGACAGTTGTCTTCCGTGTGGCTTTGTGCTATGGTTGATATGGGCCTAGACGGCCTGCCACAGCCGCTACCGCATTGGGTGCACGCTGGCCACGCTGGAAGGGTGTTGCTCTGCCATTGGTTAAGATTGGGACGCTGTTGTGTCCGCGTTTGGAATGCTTCATGTCACGTGTTGCCACCGTCGCACCAGGTCATCGGGTGTCGCGTGCTCCCCCTCCCCTCCCCATGCCGGGTAATGGCGCCACGCTCGGCGCGTGCTGCGATGCTGATGGTGTTGACGCCGTGCTCCCGTGCTCTCGGCAGTGTTCCCGGTGTTCACGCTGCGCCCGGAGAGTCTCCAGCTACGCGCCGGCAGCACAGCCAAGCTGGAGTGTAAGGCCATGGGCCAGCCGGCGCCCACCATCGCCTGGCAGAAGGACGGCGGCTCCGACTTCCCGGCCGCCCGCGAGCGGCGCATGCACGTGCTGCCCTCCGAGCACGTGTTCTTCATTGTGCGCGTGCAGCCGGCCGACCAGGGCACGTACACGTGCCGCGCGAGCAACGACGCCGGCGAGATCCAGGCCAACGCCACGCTCAGCGTGCTAGGTGAGGAGGCAGCAGCGCCGGGCTGGTGGTCGTTCTCCGGCCGGCGGCACGGACACGGCAGCGACTGGGACAGCGACCGGCAGCCTCCTAGCCTGGCTGTCAGTCGACTGTTGCCTCGTGGGATCGTGAAGGCGGGAGGGAGTTCGTTACCCATCTGACCGGACCGGTAGATCCCCGAATGGTTCGCCTGCCTTCGCGAACTAGGAGCTGGTTGTAAACAATTTGAGCTCAACAGTATGAAGATTACTGTGATGCCATGTTATACTCCTGCTAGTATCACTTCCCGCTGTTTCAGTCCTATCATGACGCGTTTCAGCCTGTCTATATACTTTGTCATCAGCATGGTGGACCTGCATTAGGGATCTGTGTGTGGCCCGGACGCTGTCCTGATACTAACAGTGTTGCCAGCGCTGTGGCCCCGACACTGTCATGACATTAACGATGTTGCCAGCGCGTGTGGCCCTGACACTGTCCTGATACTAACAGTGTCCCCAGTGCGTGTGGCCCTGACACTGTCCTGATACTAACAGTGCCCCCAGTGCGTGTGGCCCTGACATTGTCGTGACACTAACCGTGTTCCCATCGCGTGCACCTGGACGCCACCCGTTGACGGCCTGCGATGCTTCCTGTATGCTCCGGCGCCTTACTGCCTTCTGCCGTGACATTTCTCACCCCTCTCTCCGACCGCAGAGGTGCCGTCGTTCGTGCGGCCCATGGAGCACCGCCAGGTGGTGGCCGGCGAGACGGCCGTACTCGACTGCATGGCTTCCGGCTCGCCGGCGCCGCGGCTCACCTGGACCAAGGACGGCGCGCCGCTGCTCGCCACAGAGCGACACTTCTACACGGCCGGGCAGCAGCTGCTCATCATCGTGCAGACGACGCCGGCCGACGCCGGCTCGTACGAGTGCCAGCTAAGCAACGTGCTCGGCGAGGAACGCGGCAGCGCCACGCTCACAGTGCTGCCAGGTGAGACGGACCCCGGGCCCGCGCGCGGTCTGGCTATCCCGCTGTGTCCACGTCCGGTGGATGACTGGGGCCTCGGATGGCGCCCGCGGGCAGGGAGCGTGGCGTTGTCAGAATGCTGGTGAATGACAGAATTAAGGCTCGTGTTGTTGTCGGCTTGACTCGTGCCGAGGTGACGTTAAACGGTTGAAGTTCTTATTAATTCCGGTGGCAAAGGAACGGTTTCTTGGAAAATATGTTGCAAACTGTGATTTCGATCATCGCCGGACTTTCTGAATGCTAGCTCGCTCCGTAAGGTGTCTCGAGGTCTCGGTTGTGGACTTCGCCCTCTTCGGCAACGTCATGAGTGTCTTCCGGTCGTGATGTTGGCTCAAGTAGCGCTGCCACTGCCCACCTCAAACTTGCCTTGTCCTGGCAGGCCCATCGTTCGGGCTGGACGACGACTCGACATACGCCATCATCATCATCGCCGTCGTGTCGGGCGTGGTGGTTACCTCCCTCGTCTGGGTCATCATCATCTACCACGCGCGCAAGCGCTCGCTGCGTCAGCTGCGCGCGCGCGCCGCCACCGCCGCCTTCGCCGCCGGCGCCGACCGGCAGCTGTCGCCGCCGCCGCCGCGCGCCGTGGCCGTCTACGCGTCGGGTGCGGCCGCATCGCTGCTGGAGCGGCGCGCCTCCAGCGTGCAGCTGTACACAGGCGACGACGGCTCGGAGCACAGCAGCGGCAAGGACAGCGGCCAGGGCGGCCACGACGAGGCGACGCTGGAGGCGGTCGTGGCCGTCGCCGACTCGGATGACGAGGGCGTGGGCGGCACGCCGCTGCTGGAGCGGCGGCCGCGCGTGCTTACGACGTTTCAGGGGGCGCTGGCGCCGGCGGCCGGCCGCGAGAGCCTGCAGACTGTGGTACCGCGCCACTTGTACACTGAGCGTCGGCTGCCGGCCGTCCGCGCCCGGCCCACTGAGGTGTGAGGGCCGCGCCAGCCGCGCGGTCCACGGTGTGCCATCGTGTCTGTTTCGGGGCGGCGACCGTGGCGTGAGCCGCTCCTTCCCCTCCCTCCTTTCCCCCACCGGTGGCAGCTGGCTCGGTGTTGACTGTCTAGGCGACCTTCCTCGTATTTATTGCCGACGTATCAGATGACATATCTTCTTCGTCAACGCTTTCCGTGTAGTGCTCCGCCTTTCTATCAGCTTTGCTGTCGTTACCGGTGCCGTGTTTTACCCTGTAGGCAGAATGTTATTGGTCGCTGTCACACTGTCAGCTGACCAGCGCGTGGCGCTGATTGGTGTACCCATTGTGACGTCGGCCCGCGCGTGACGTTCATTGGTGTAGCTATCGTGCCGTCAATCGGAGCCTCCGGGAGGACGCTCCTTTGATCTGGTGCAGCCAGGCTGCCCGATCGCAATGCATGTGATATATTATTTATGTACAAATAGTTATTATGAGGTTTGAATCCAGTCCAGACGTAACATGATGGTGCGTGCGCGCCGAAGCTGCGGTATGGAGAGCGGAAGACGAGGAGGAGCCGAGTAGGTGTGTAGTGTAGCTGTTCGTGTGTCGACGTTGTAATATTATTGATTCGTGTACGTTGTGGGAGTGAAGGGCGCACGGAGGGTCCCGTAAAGTATTTTCGTGGTCGATGTGAATAAGTGTGGAGAGAAGAGTAATGTCTGTAATACAGGAAATCGTGACACTACACCACCGACTCTGTCTTCCCGCTCAGTCTGACGGAACACCACTCTACGTTATACTCAGCTGAACTACAACGAAGTCGGCCGGGCGTCCAGTTGGCCGAGCCAACGCCTGAAGGGCAGGGTTGAGACGCGGATGTTAGTCGCTGTCGCTTCCGCATTCGCAGCAGGTACCTTCAGGAAATACGTACTGATTTATTGCACTTTTATGACTTCGTAAATTTTTGATGTGCAAGGCTATTCGTTGCCGTGACATGTGCTGGGAAATTATTGCATACCATCCGGTGGTACTGGGTGCGTGATAATGCCACGCTTCTGGTTTACCTCGTGGCTGTGAAATATAACTTTGGTTATGAAACTGAACGCTAGATGGCAAAATATTTGTTACAGTCAATATGTAGATGGTATTTCAGCACAACCAGGAGGCACCAGCATTCTGATGCACTGACACTGAAACGTATCAGGGGCTTTGTGCTTGTGAGTGCCTAACAAAACCGACGCATTACCGGACTTCCATTTTGAGTTTGCCTTCTAGATATCTGGGTCACCACTGACTTTTAGGGCGAGTTTCTCTAAAATTCGCTAGAAGATGGTATTTGAACTACGGCAGCTTAGCTTTGCTTAACTAACAAGGAACACCAACATTCGACCTCGGTTCTATGGTTGCCAACCACATGTATTAATTATGTGGAAGGTGTAATCTATCAGTAAACCTGCTAACCGCACGGAACCGGGAATACAGAACGAACGCAATGCCAGGTAGCCGGAACACTCACTCATTTCCTCCCAAGATTCATGCCCAGCTTCCCTCTGCTAAGGCATCTCGCCCGTGGGTCATTTGGACTAGTAAGGCGCACGTTCACGGCAATGCTATTAAGAGCAGGGAAACAAACAGTTGGACGCCTGGAGCATTGTCACATCTTTATCTCATACGGTTTGAACGTTCAGTTAGCATGCGCCCGGATGGCCGGTTACATACCCTTCGCTCGGATGGGGGCTCTATATGATCCCCCTGAGATCTCAGAAACTAAGAGAGCTAGATTCGCGAAATTCACAAGGTGTGCTTGCCGGTACGTGAACTCATTTGTGCCCAAATTTGGTGTTTCTAGGTCACAACCCCCGGGTCAAATAGGGTCAAGTAAGGGCAAACTTCAAATTGGTGTCCAAAGTGTCTCAGAACCTAATACACTTTCTAAGCAAAAGATCACAGGTGTTAATTTACAGTCAGTTACCTTGATTGACATTTCGGAGGTCATGGTGACCAAAATCATACAAGACCGCTTGGAGTTTTGCATTTGAATACGCATTAATAATTGCGCTTGCCAGGATGATGCTAAAAACAAAAAGGTTGATCTGGGTAATTTTTGGTCAGTGACCCGTCATGACCTTGAATAATTTTGTGGAGGATGTATAATCCGATTCCCATTACAAGTAAATTCGAAAAGAGTACCTGAAACTAACTCATACAGCAAGCTCCACAAAAATAAAACAGGTTGGTTTTTGAACTAGATCTGACTTTCATATCCTAGCTTCGATCAGTGGAATTTGCTTCAGTGACCTCACTAGGTACCTATAAATTGTGATACCAAACGATTTGCTATTCAATTGTTAACAGCCATGCAAAAGTTGGAGCGGCTACGCCGCGCCGCTCGGAACCGATTCCGGAAACACTTCGGGGTGTCAAATTGATCCCTACACGAGCGCGTATTAGCCAATGATCAAAAATGCCGGGTGGGGGCGGAATCAATATCAGCACGAGCAAAGTTTTACTCTACGCAATATGAAACCAATGCCTTTGCAACATCTTACTGCATCGATGGCAAAGTGAAAAATAATGCTCACAAGGAACGCAGATCAAAGGGGCAAAGAGACACAGGAGGGCACAAGTAGTACAAATTGTGTACGTATTCATCCAAAAGTGAGATCCTTTATATAAGAGACATCATCCAATCGTGAAAACCTCAACTTATCGCCCAGGGCGGTCCGGTCGTCACGGCTCATCCGTTATGGCCTCCACCGCTTGCACTGAGAAGCTTTAAAGGACGTCTGTTCGATCCTTATGTCAGTGCAGATAATAGCAAAAAGGACGTGAAACTCACTGCGCGGACTAGGCGAGTGTATTGTCTATGAATTACTAACGAATGCTGACGACTCATGCATATGTCAATGATTGACTGGGAAACGGCCAGTGTCACGTGATCATTACTGGCATTGAATAGCACACGCCGTGGCCCAACCCTCGCCCTGAAAGGGGCGGAGATGTGACCCCCCCCCCCCCCCTAAGGGTCTTGTAGGATACTTCCCCGGCATGTTGTGCAATCGCGTCCCAATTTTCGGAAGCCTTTGAAGCATTTATTGCTCCTGTGTTGACCGCAAAACGTGTTCTTTGCTTCCCAGTTTCGGAGCAATAGCGGCTTTCGAGGAGCACTGCGCGGCGATCAACGGCCGGCGCGCTTGGTGGGCGGCAACCGGTGATGCCGCGCAATTATTGGCTGTCTTAAAACTGCACGAGGTGAGTTACTCAGGAAGTTTAGACGCAAATTCAGTGATTCAGATACAAGATTCAGGGATGTAATAGGAGAGGTTGAGAGATTGAAAGTCTCAAGACCACAAGAACTTTGTACTTCGAAGGGCAGATCGGGTGGTGTACCCTGGAAGTATGGGTATCTTCAGACCATCTTAAACACGTTTCATTGCTGTGCCTTTTCCTTATTGCACGTAAGCATGCACAGTTTTTCATTTTATTCAGCTGAGACGGATGTTGTTGTTCCCTGATACCGATGCGCAATAGTAGCTTTGTATTGTTGATCCATTTACAAACACTTAAAACCTACGATATTTGTTAACGTCAGGTTATAGTTATGTACACATGTTTATGTGCATACGCGTGGTACTTATCTACCAACAGATCTATTTTTACTAACAAATTCTTTTCGGTCCAAAATCCGAAAAATATAACAGTGAGGTTTGGATACGTCACTGCTTAACAGTCGTTTTGAATCAAATTCGGCTTCAGAAGTCGGAATCGCTTCCACTCAAGCGGAGGCGAGCACAAGTCTGACGTTATCGCTGCACCTCTGCCCATTAAACTCTCCTGACCGGCAAACCTGTGAATCCATTGATCAGAACAGTTTGAATGAATGCCCAACTATATCTGGCTTGATCAGCTCAGCTTTTGGCATTGCCTGCATGGCGACACTTGGTACTCCTCAGGCTTGTTACCAACTCGCTCGTCCCACGCGATCAGTGTAACCCTGCATAGCCACATGGACATTTATTGCACGCTGCATTACAAACCATGGTTCACAAGAACCGATATCAGCGTACTAACGGCATCACTAGATTTGGCGTGCAGTCGAGCTAGCTGCATCCGTTGCGGTCCGCCTACAAGTCTGCGTTGTTCCTCAATGTGGCGGAACGAGTCGATACCCCGCGATGAGAGACGGAGTCGGAGAAAATTCCAATGAAGTGGTCTACGACTGGGGCCTACTTAGGTGTACGACTAAGAGAGGACAGCCGATCTACCATTCTGAAACACAGGCTAGACCATTTTAACACAGGCTAGGCCATTTCCCAGTGCTGATAAATGCAAGTACCGGAATGAGCGATGGGTCTGCCCGGATCTGAGAGCTTCCCCGGACTGATCCAAAGGTTACCAGGTCACGCTAGCGGGTCTGGCTCCCTCTGTAGCAGGCAACATTTCAGCAGGCGGACAGTGCCCCGCCATCCCCCGGGACCTCACCCTGGCCTCTTGCGGCCCGTTTACCCGGGCCCGGCCACTGGCAGCCGTGGCTTCACCCTGGACTCTTGCGGCCCGTCAGCCCGGTTACAGCCACCGGCAGCCGTGGCTACACCCTGGCCTCTTGCGGCCCGTCAGCCCGGTTACAGCCACCGGCAGCCGTGCTACAACCCTGGCCCTCTTGCCGTGCCCGGCCCGGCGGTTACAGCCACCGGCAGCCGGGACCTCACCCTGGCCTCTTGCGGCTCGTCCAACCGGTCACAGCCACCGGCGGGCCACCTACCCGGGTACAGCCACCGGCCGACCGCCTACTCGGGCACAGCCACCGGCAGCGGCCTACCCGGGCACAGTCATCGGCAGCGGCCTACCTGGGTACAGCCCCCGGCCGGCTGCCTGTCCGGCCACAGCCCCGGGCGGGCTGCCTTGATGCGGACACTGGCACATGGATCACCTTCCGACCAGAGTCGCAAGAGGGAACCAGGGAGCCGGGAGACTGTCACATTGCTGGCTTCCAGACACTTACCAACACTTGATGGAACGCTCGTAACCTGGTACCAAAATGCCCGTTGTTTGGTCTGTATCTGTTGTGGCTTGGTGTTCCAAAGCTTGTAGCACGCTCTCGATGACTTCTGGCAATCAACACCGAATACCTCATTTGTGGAGACATAATATCGCCAAAAACGTGATCCCAATAGCGGCCTAAGCGCATTAAAAAACAAATTTATTCAGAATGCTTGGCATGTGTGACTTTGGGTTCATAGTACCTGCTAAGCACAGCTTGTCACGTGCACCCTGAACCCACCACATCCAAGTCGTACCGTCCAGTTCAACGGATAATTGCCTCCACCCCTTCGCCAGACAGGACTGCGGAGGGTTTTACGTGCCGCGCGATGCTGCGACACGGCCGTCTCGGGCCTTGGTTGACCATCGTTAGCCGCTTGCCAGTTGACCTTTCCATTTCAGTCGGGCCAAACAACGCGTCCGCCCTGAGACTCGTACCCAGTGCCGCTGGATTGCGAGGCCAGCATCTCTCCCTCGACTACGGACGTGGCACACGGCCCCGTTCCATTTTGGCTCTCGCTGGTATTGGTGCCGGCTTTCAATGCATCCAATACATGCCAATTTCCGGGTACCGTAGAGACCACTCCATTTCCGTCGTCTGATTCGATTCCGGCCATTGGTGCCGCGTTGCCAGGATATTGCGTTATGGAAAATCGTTATAAGCCGGAGGTGGAACATCATTCAGCTCAGCTGACAATTGGAGGCTG